TGACTAAACTTTCTTAATAAAAAATGAAATAAATAGGTAAAATTTATTCAATTTTTTAATTATTTAAAAAAGCTTTCTTATATTTTTGTTAATACTCTACTGTGTTTTTATTTTTGAAAAATTGCAAAAATGCCAATTTTTATGTGCACATTTGCAAAATTGTCATTTAGAAGTGTTTATTTACAAAAATGTCACTAATTATAGATTTTTAAACCCTATATCTTAAAATTCTAAACACTAAAAAATGTTTTGATCCCTAAACCCCCATAAACCCTCATAGCTAAACCCTAATAAAACATAATTAATCCAAAAATAAATAATATAAAGAAAATAATTTTGAAAAAAATAACATTTTCGTAAAGATTTCAAAAGTGTGGCATTTTTATAAAGTGGCATATTTTTAAATTTTTTTTTCTTTTTTTGACCAATACTAATGATACATGTATTGTTGCTGCCACATCACTAACAGTTGGTTCAGTTTGTCGTTGCAATCTAACCTTCCTGTCTTGATAACGATTTTAAAATTTGGTTTGGGTAACAAACCTCCTTATCAAAAGCGGATATTTTATTACAAATAACTTTTTTCGCAGAAAAATTAGTTAACACAATGCAAGAAAAGCTAAACAATCACACTAAGGTCACAAATGTCAACACTAAACTAAAAATTATAACCTAAATGAATTTGCAAATATTGAAAGAATTCATGATATATGTCGTCTCCATAAGTAAAGTTAACCACTTTTAGCAAAAAAAAAAAGAAAAGTTAACCACGAAAAGAAGTTTAATGGATCTCTCGTGGCCTACAAACAATAAAAAAAAAAGAAATTTTAAAAAATGCCACATTTCAAGTGTCATTTTACAAAAATGCCACACTTTTGAAATCTTTACAAAAATGTCATTTTTTCGAAATTATTTTTTCTTTATATTGTTTATGTTCGGGTTAATTATGTTCTATTAGGGTTTAGTTTTGAGTGTTTAGGGTGTTTTAGGTGTCAAAATATTTTTTAGGGTTTATAATTTTAAGATATAGGCTTTATAAATCTATAATTAGTGGCATTTTTGTAAATGGACACCTCTAAGTGAAATTCTTACAAATGTACACTCAAAAAGTGAAATTTTTGTAATGGTCTCTAAAAACAATTATGGCTACTTGACAGTACCAATTAAGAATTATTAAAACAAAACCTTTATTATTTCCCCTCAACCACCATACTTTTAAATTCTTTCAATTTTCTCTTATCATGAACTGTTTTTGAAGACGACGGATGTACCACCTCACGAACTGTAGTCTGTAGTCTGATAATATGATTTACATGGGACAACAAACAACTCTGTTAGGGGAGAGATTACAACATACAGTTGAAGAGACCGTTTTATTTGTCTAGTGCCATTAGTCGACTTATCACCATTTCACCTTTTTAATTGTACTTGTTTTCTCCTCATCAATGATCGATGATGCATTTCTCTTTTTGATGTATACAACTGGTTAGCTGCACGAGCCTCTTCTTCGTTTCTGAGAACCATGGTGCACAATTAGTATTCTGAACAATCTTCCCCGCGACCACAAGAACATATTCATTACCTATTGTCTACAATATTGTCTCCAAGATAAAAATATTTGTCACAAACCATGTTAGTATGACTAATTGACTATCGCCCCATATTCCTTTGGTATTGTCATCGATTCATTCCCAATGAAGACTCTTAATTTACGTTGTTTAAACGCGGTTTTGAACCAGTAAAATCGATAACAGTTTATCTCAATCAATTCTAATTAAATCATTAAAATAAAGATGATATGTTCGACTAGTGTAGAAAAAAAGTGAAACTAAATGTATCACCGATTAGTATATAAATGGTAAATTAAATAATTCTGAAATTAATGATAAACATATCAAATTAAAATGTCTGACAGAAAATCTCCGACTTTTCTTACTGTTCAGAGATGTGAAATCAAAAAGCATTGTTATCAAGTTTTTTCGAGAAAATGAATAAATGAACAAAAAAATTGATATAAGACGATTTATGTATAATTTTTCTCTCTACAAAGTATGGGAACTGCCTCTTATAGGCTGTGATTGGTAACTTTGCGGGATGGCGGAATGGAGTTTTAATTTTCATTCCGTAAGAATTTGACCAATCAAGAAAATTTGGGGAATATTAAAAAAACGCAGAACCTGCTTTTGATGGAAAAAAATACAAAGAAATTTGTATTCCATGAATAATCGTGTATACACTAGATTAATGGCTAAAACTTTTTTGAGAAATTTCAAAAATGTCATTTTTCAAAATTATTTATTCATTATATCATTTATGTTTGGGTTAACTATATTGTATTAGGATTTAGTTTTGAAGGTTTAAGAAATTTTAAAGGTCAAAAGATTTTTAAGATGTAGGCTCTAAAAAATCATAATTAGTGGTATTTTTGCAAATGGACACCAAAAATAGCATTTTTGTAAATGTTCCAAATTTTTTTTTCTCATTTTATTTATTAACAAACAAACAAATCATTTTCTATTACAATTACATTTGATTAATTCATAATATTTCTTGTCTTAACAATTATTAAAATAATATTTAAGTATACTGAGAAATATTTTAAAATGTTATTTATTTATCAGATCTAGTAATTTTAAAATATGATAAGTCTATTCCGTCGTTTCGCAAATTTATCCGTTCACACAATTACTTTGATTCCGCAACTTTTTATTCCACAACTTATTTTATTCAGTAGGAAAGTATTATTTTCCGCCATTATGCGATTACGTGAAACACAACAACAATATTGATACGTTGAACAAAATAAAAAGTGGAATACAACAACAATATTAAGTTTTTTAGCATTTCTAAACGAAAAAAAAATAATTATGAAATAATATGTGGATTTGGCCCACCATGAACTAAAGGTGAGACGGATCCGGATATCATGGAATTTTAGAATATCAAAATCCGAATATGAATCCGTGAGATCCATGGTAAAAATATCCAGATCCGGATCCGTGGCCTCCGGATATCCGAACTTAAGATATCCGACCAAAAATCAGGATATTCGCGGATATTCGGATTCGGATCCAAAATTAATATCAAAAAATAATTAATAAATAAATAAATATACAATTTTAAAAAAATTATTAGTTAAAATTTTGGATATATATTTTCATAATAAATATAATATATTATAAAAAGAACTAAAATCAATTTATATATATTGATTGATATGAAATAGGTTAATATATGTAAAAAATATATGTTTTTAATATATTTAATGCGTCTAGATCTGAATATCCAGACCTCAAAATTTTGCTATTCAGATCCGGATCCTCTTTTTACGGAACCGAGATTCTACTATTTTTGTCCGAATCCGAACTCCCCAAATATCTTTATTTTTGGAACAGAGCCGAGCAGAGATCGGATCGGATCTCGGATCTGAGATAATAGTTCCACTGCCATGAACCCATGTAAAAGTTCTTACCTGTGTCAAATTGTCAATTACTCAATATATTGCCACATGTACAAATGGCCTACAAAGAATATACAACTAAAAATAGTAACAGTTGATTATTTAATTTATTTCGATAGTAAAACTTATGATTTTTTTTAATATTCTCTCTTTCTCTCTCTCCATAATTTCACAGAACCATAACCTCGTGGGCTCAGCTTTTGTCCCCTTCATAGGATTAGCAAACAGCTTTACCCATATGACTCCGATATTTAAAATTAATACTCGTTGATTAATTTTGTAACGCTCTCAATTATTTTAACTCAATTATTCTTTAAAAAAATAAAATCATTTATCATACCTAATTATTAAGGAGAATTTGCCAAAAATACAACAAAAACATTATATTTTAAAAGTTAACCCAAAATTTCAAATTTAATGGTGTACAATTTACCGTGTACCCATTTTTCTTAACATTTTAATTTTTTTTTAATTATATTCACCAAAAAGACCATAATTATTTTTCCCTCTCTCTCCTGTTTTTTCTTGCTCAAGATCACAACAACAACTTAACGGTACAGAAAAATAAAAATAAAAATTGTTTACTTACACCTTCCACCACTAATGACATATTAATTTAATCATCTTTCGATTTATAATAAACCTAAAACATTTCTATCTCTTTCTCTTTCATCAAGCAAAGCTTCAAAAGAATCAAACTTTAGAAAAAAAAGAATCAAATTTCTTTTTGCTTTTTTCTGGGTAATTGTGCTTTTCAGAGATCTGTTTGCAGAAACAACAAAAATGGGTTTTTATGAAGGAGCCTCTGTTCATCCAAAAAACCCAGATAAAAACCCACCAATCCTCACTTGTTCATTGTCTCCTTCGTCTCAAGATCTCGACGGAGACAACAACAGTGAGAAAGGAATCAAAACCCGTTTGAAAAAAATGATTTTTGATTTGGGTTTCGCTTGTTTTCTTCCTCCTCCTCCTCCAGCTAGATCAAGCTCAATCAGTAACAATGGCGGAGGAGGAGAGAACAACAAGGCTTGGCTTTTAGCGGAAACAGCTCCGGAAAACATGAACCCTGATCCTCACTCTGTCCATTCTTCGTTTAGATTCAGTCTCTGTTCACAGATTGAGCTTGAGAAGATGAAAGGTGAAGAACCGTCCTTGTCTGCTTCTTCGTCTTGTCGGAATCTATCGGTTTCTGGTGGCTCTGCGACGGTTTTGATGGTGAATCTGGAGAATGGAGTTAAGGAGACTGACGATTTGAGGTGGACCAGAGCTCGATCTCTCGAGAAGAGTATTTCTCCGGTCGCTAATACTTTGGTTCGCTTCAGTTACGGCCAAATCGTCGCCGCCACTCGTGATTTCTCCAAAGGTAAAACCCTAAATTAGTAATTAGGACGAAACTGAAATATTTAATACAGTATAATTTTTTTTTTTTTTTATAATAGGACTGTTATAGAGATGGTCGAATTGAGATTAGATATTTTTGGTAATTCGGGTAATTTTGAGTAATTTTCAGTATTGTTGAATAATTTTGGTGATTAGTTTCTTATCCATTGGAATCTATTAAACTGTTCCAAAAGAAGAAAGAAATTCAAATCGGCTACGGATCCGGGTTGGTTACCGGGTCGGAAATGGACAGGTCTATTTTGATAATGTCAAAATCTTGAAATTGAAAAAAGC